TTTTTTCCGTGTTTCTGGTGGGAATGTTGTACAAAAATGGAACATTTTTGTTGAAAACGGCCAGTTTTTGTTATGTATGANAGTCGCACAGGCGCCAGACCCCGAAGGAATGGAGGCCGTAGAGTCGATGGCGCATTCTTGTTCATTGAGCTGTATTTGTTCCGTTTTTTCCGTGTTTCTGGTGGGAATGTTGTACAAAAATGGAACATTTTTGTTGAAAACGGCCAGTTTTTGTTATGTATGAACGCTATAGGTGCGGTAGAGGCATTTGCATAGTGTTTGAGGGCGTTCCTGTGCACGTGTGGGTGGTTTGGTGCGAAAAAAAAAAAGGATTAGCAACATATATGGGGGAAAAGTTGCTCTAGGGCCAATTTCGTGGGTTAGAGACCCGCCGCGAGCATCTTTTTTTCTTTTTTTTTTCTCTTTTTTTTCCTTTTTTTTTGGCAACTCGCTACTCTTTTGCGCCTTGCGGTGGGCGTTCCGAAGCTGTTTTTCTTTTCTTTTACTCGCTCTCAGTCAAAAGTTATGGAGGGACAACCAAAATCGGGTCCTTGAAAATTACCACTTTATTTTTCAAGAAGGTGATTCTCTACAACTTTGACACCCACCCAGTGACGGCGATGCCTAAATAACACAAAAAAAAATGGACAACAGCACACAGACGTAAAACGATACTGCTTGTCAAACAAGAACCACCACATGTGCATAGAAATTATTCTTTCAACCGGGTGCCGATGGGCAAAAACAAAAAGGTCTGCTGGTGCGCAACGACAGACTATCAAGCATTCCTTCGGTATTAACAAAATGGGAAGGCACAGATATACAAAAGCTGCACTTCATCTCTTGTACTTGTGCCTACAACGCAAGGAAAAGACGCTTCACCACTAGTGGGTGCAAAACGACGTTTGACGAAGGACAAAAAAAATCGGAAATTTTGAGTCTCTTCCCTCAAAATTTGAGGGACAGCGCAACGAGCAAACAAGGAACACAACAAGCGACAGCACACCGGATCAACACCATGTACGTACCAGGACAAAGAAAACGGAGAAATGGGCAGAAGCTCAGCAATCCCTCCTCCAAAACTGCACTTCGCAAATACATGGCTTAGACGCATGTCTCCGACGGAAAACATTCCATTGCAGCGAGAGCAGGCACACAAGCAAAGATCAAACTTCACGACGAAGATACCTACCAAGTGCTCACACGGCCTATCGTTTTCCCCTGCTAGCGCAAGCGGTGCATCAAAGAATCTATCTCACCCGGGGTCATAGGGTACGAAGCAAAGCCACAGAGACGCAACAAGCAAGAGTACAAAAGACTCCGCAACACTCCTCCTGTCACTCACGGAAAAAGGATGATCTTCTTCATGAAATATTTATATCTACTGCTGTAAGCGAACGGCGTGCCTGTTGCCGCGGGCTGCTCAGTCGGGTGTACCAATGCCACGCGAAGAACAGCAAACATACATCCCCGATGGCGTCTTTATCCACGTCTCCCCCGGACGAACCATCAACCCCGCCGCGAAATCCCCACGCGTCGCTGCCTCGGGAATTACGCACACAGCGACTACCGCAGGTTCATCCACCAGCGGTGGCAACACGCCCTACACAACAGAAGCCCTCACCACGCGAGCACGACACGGTACCGCTCCAGCCAGCACTACTGCGCGAGGACATGTAAACTTGCACCACATCAAAACGCGCCTCACTAGGGCGCGGTTCGGGGTCACCCCCCTTTCTTTTGGGTGATTATGAATACCCAAGCCCTCCCTTCAGCCCTACCCCAGCTTCCGGTCTCCGTCCCGGTTTTGCAAGGATGCCACGTCAATGGTCTAACGACTACGGCAAGCACGGTTGACTATGAGCACACTCATGCTTCGAGTCTCGGCGAAGTGTACAATGTTGAGGATGCCTTCGAAGTTTGCACGATCTGACGCGATCGTTTGTCAACGAGCACACCATCTTTGACTTATTTTTCCAACAACCGACGGCTGACACCCGAAAGATGCACGGAGTGCACGCCCGACCCTTTACGAACAGCCCCCGCGCACATCGCATCGAACCAAGCTTGTAGCACTAGCACGGCAGCAACAATCACCTGGGGTCAAAACGGCTGCCATAAACAGGTGTGCCAGCTGTGCTCTTATCCTACATCGTGGTTCTTTGCGTCGGTCCTGTGAGCGCCAACGTGGCATGCGATAGTCGCAAATATATATATATAAATATATATATATATATATATCGTAGCAGCGTGTACACACCACCGCTTTGGCCTTAGTCCAGAAGCCAGACGGAAGGTGAGTCGACCAACGGCCCCGGTATCTATTCCGCCAGGACCCTGTGCAGCGCGGGCCGGGCCATCAGACTAGGCCAGGAGGCTATTATAGTAGACAAGGCACGGTGTGAGGCAAGACGATGTAACCGTCAGAGAAGCGCGTCTCCTTTCTTGTTTCTGAAGGACCCCCACATCGAGTAGCCGCCGGACTCGTCCGAAGCACCTCCGGCCGCCACAACTCTCACCCTGCCATGGATCTGACCGCGCACAGCATAGGCAGATCGTCAGACGTTGCACAACGAGAGAGGAAGCAAATGGGGGGGGCGGGGGCGGGTGATGAGCGACCAGAATGCGTCCTCAACTCGCGCACAGCGTGAGAGATGAAGAGCACAAGCATTTAAGAGCGACGTTACATGGACAAAGGCTTACCCGTTGCCGTCGAATCTATGTTTACCCAACAACAATTGAACTGTGAGGCGACCCGTCGCGGCGGTTCTTCGGCTTTGGGCTGGTCGTCAGGGACGGACTTGGCCCGCAACATCATCATCAAATGTGGAAGAATACCAACACTGATGGGCGAATGCGAGTGACGATTGTGTGTCCATTGCGTGGACATTTGAGGCGACTCCGCACGGGTGTGCAAAAAAAAGGTGTGGCTGATGCCGGATGGAAAGCAAATCCATCCAGGGTAAGGAACGAAAGAAGAAAAACACTTTCACTATTCTGCGCTCTCTCCAATGTGTCTTTCCACAGAGAACTCACAGAAAAAAACAGCGACGGAGAGAAGTACAGCAGCAGCAACAACATGGGCTTTTGATTAACGTGAGGACGTCACACACATACACACGTGCCTGTGACGGGCTGTAAGCGTGGAAGACGGTGTCGAAAAACTCCCGGATCTTGCCGACAAACCTATCCGTCTGCCTGTTCTTCGACGTCACCACCAACTTCAGCTGGTTTTCTGTCAAGTGAACGACATCGACAACGATCGCGGGGGAGGGGTGCCGCAGCGTCGGAAAGAGAGACTTGGGGGTGGGTGACCAATGCTCAGTTTTTAACGTGTGCGGTGAAAATAGGTGTCTCCTCGAGTTTTCGGGCGTTGCGGGGGGGGAAAACCGTGCCGAGAAACGAAAAACAGAAGAACCGAGCGCGTCAAAAGCTGTGGGGAGTGCGGGGGCTTTGTCTGCTGTTCACGTTGTCGTTGTTGTTGATACTTTGTTGCTGCTGTTAATTTTCCTACTCGCTTCGGGTGCGGCTGTGCAGCAACAACAATAGCGAAAAAATCGAGACAGTTGCAACGGTTCTCCATACCTTTGATGATGTAGCCAACGCCGAAACCATCCCGGACGACCGGCCCGAAGCCGAAGAGCCGCAGCGACGGATTGCCACAATTGCTGGAATCGATTCGACGCCGCCAAGGTTCGAGAGCAACCGAGACAAAAAGATAAAGAAGAAGTGAGCTCGTACGATAGAGGAAACCGACCACAAAAAAACACAGGTAGGTAGGTAAGCATTTAAAGAAAAGTTGTCGGATCTTCTCCTTGTTTCGGCAAGCAATACCTCAAGTTCGTTCGATCCATGCAAACTTTGGCGTAGAAACAATGGAGAGGTATTCCCTGCAACCCCAGCAGGCACCCTGTCATATAGAGTTGGTCTGTTTCTCGGCTGTGATGGCATACCGGATAATGTTTGTCACACCGCATACGTACCTCGTGGACAGGATGACGTGGTTAAGCACCCGCCAAGCCTCGTCCTCGAACAACGCCGGGATATGGGAGGGAGGAGACGGGGGGGGGATTCCATTACTGTCCCCTCCGTTCGGAACCGCCTCCTTTGCTGCTGTCGCTGCTGCTGTCGCCTCCTCCGCCTTCTTCTTGGCCATGCACAGGAGGGCGAACAAGTGTCTGTCGACCCCCTTCCCCTGCGGCCGTTGTTGGGACAGGAGGAGGTTTCGGAGGGCGTTCATTTGCCGCATGGATTAAGAGAAAAAAATCGCCGTTTTCGAACGTGGATAACAACAACAACAACAACAACAACAACAACAACAACAACAACAACAACAACAACAACAACAACAACAACAACAACAACAGCAACAACAACAACAAAAATAACAACCTTGCCCTCGCCGCTCATCACCTTGGCCGCCAGCTTGACGAGGCGGCCGTGCGACACGATGGCTGTCCTCAACGACAACATCTTGCGCTTCTGTTCGCTCCGACGAAGAGACGCGAGGCGACGGGCGTGAGGCGACACGTGCGGCACAAAAGCAAGGGGAACGGCGGCACGGTGAGGGGCAAAGCAAAAGGACAGGAGCGCAATAGACAGGACAGAGCAAGGGTGAGAGGTGTCTGTGGCTGATGGAGGCAGAGGCACACAAACAACACACAGCCATCAAGACAAGCATTAATTAGCGGGGGGATTTAGACAAGAGACCCGAGTAGCAGCCAAAGCTGGATGACAAGACCGAGTATGCTACCGTTCAAGGAGATACAAAACAAAATTGGTTCATCTCCGGGGCACGTTATTCTGAACATTTTCTTTGTATTATCATACAATCTTCGCAGTTGCCGGTGATGTTCGAACACATAGGATATGGGTGTGTTACGCATATGGCTCCATACCTGCACAATTTGACCAGGAGGGAGGAGCGGAGCGGCAAGCTACGATTGGAACAGGCTAACGAGGGAGAAGCGAAGTGACCCCTGAGACACAACCAGACGAAAAAGGGCCACGATGTACAAGCTAAGGCCAAGAGGGAAGGGTGGGCGATACAAGAAACCACCCTGTCGACAACACGCAGCTTCGCGGTTGTCTCTGGCCTTTGTCAGGCCCCTCTTCGAACAGAGGGTACGGAGGGGGCGGGGGGGCTAAAATAGCTGTCGGCAGCCAGAAGCGAGAATGCACCGAAGCAAAGGAGGGATAACGAGGTTCCCGCACTCGTCCAACTTGAGTGACCTCCTAATCTTGCTCCAACTCTTGCACTCCTAGTGCTTGCACTTCTAGTGCTTGCACTCCTAGTTCTGGAATTATCTCATAGGCTCCTACCCCTAGCCCCCTTCTCTCGACCACCAAATCCCAACCCGAACCAGATCCTCAACCCAAACGCACCGTGGAAGTGTCCGGGTTGGAGAACGCCTCCAAGAAGGCCTTGACCTCCGCTGTAACCGTCCGCAGCGCCTCTGTTCTGCCCTTCAGAAACGCCTGTACGCCGGCAGCAGGGTTGAGAGACACATGATAAACGTGAGGCGTGGTTCCAACTGTCGATACCACCGAACGATCATCTGTGAAGCACAACGCTTACCGAAATAAAAAGAACGAAACGCGAACACGATGCAATCTCCCCACCCAAAAAAAAACGAAAAAAGTGGAACGTAGGGCGGTGTGCGCGAAGAATATACAGGTGTGCGTTTGATACTTACAAGGCCAGTTGTCTACAACAAAGAGACTGCAAACGCCGAAAACGAGGTGGTTTTACGAAAGATCTCGTCGAGAGCTTTCCTTGCACTTGTCGGTCGGCCATCGTTCAAAACCGATCAGCACACCTGTGCGTTCGACAGCATAGGTTTCCTAAAAGGGGACAGGGACTTGCCACTCTATCCGCATTAGTCAAGACTTCAAGTGTCATCTCGTGAACCACAGCGAACCCGACCTTGGTCAAGACCGGCTCGTAGGCGGCGACGACATCTCCGTAGAGGCCGTAGTAGCCGTACACGATCGACATCTGCACGAACGCGTCCGGGCTCATCTTGTTCTGCGTGATGAAACGCTTGCCGAAACTGACGAGCAGCACCAAAATACACGCCACGGCGGACAATAAGCGTCCGAAGCGGTTGGGATGCCGCGAGTGGGCTGTGCGTTTCCCTATCGGACTTCAGAATATAAGTCCTTCAGTGCAAAGGACTTCGCACCCAGACCACTTGCACACCCGTGCTTGAGGTGATGATCCTACAATAGGTACCCTTCTTTCTCGGGCAAGACAACCGCCGCGTCTGTGTACCTTGCAACACGATTCCCAAGTAGCCTGAATCAGGAGACTACCCGGGCGGAGTCAGATATCCTCCGCGGCGCCCCTATCGGGAGAGCCCACCGACCAGAAAGCGCACTCGCGTTTGTGGTCCCACCGTAAGACTGGTCAGCCAGTTAGCGCGGTCGATGCTAACTAAGTTCACCACACACCAGGATGAATGTGCACGTGTAAACCCATCACATCGTAGTCTTTGTTTTCAGCTGCAATACATAGAAATCGCTCGGGACTCACGTGTCGTACTCCAGCGCTTGCACGTCGTGCTGCCGTATGAGGTCCGATATTCTGGTCTCGGCGAAGTAGATATCCCTCCGCATGTCCTTGGGCAGCCGCCACTCCATCTTGACGGGGCTCCGCCCATCGCACAGGGAGAACGCCTGCTTGTCCGGGGGGAACACCTCCTGCCGGTCCGGCAGCAACAAACAACGCCATCGTCTCGAACATCGGTAACCAAAAAAATTCTAGCACACCACCACCAACAACAACGACAAACGCAACATGGGCGAGGAAGGCATTGACGAGGACCCGATCTACCCCGCTCTCGTACCAAACTAACTCCTGGAAACGTTGTGGCTCTCAAGCGTTCAGGCAGGGATCCCACGTCCAAAGCGTGCGTAAGGCGGTGCGGTATCAAAAGGAATTCTAAGAGCTCCGGGGCAAATACAGTTGTTTTCCTTCTCGGCGTGTGGAAGCACTTGAGAGCGGCAGACCACGCCAATCCGCACTGCGGTGGCTGCAAGAAAACGCATAGAAGAGGACGATGACAGGAAAAAAAGAGCCCGGAAAACACATGAACGCGCGCACACACGCTCTTACCCCCATGCCTTCACGGCCGCGGGCGCCGCCCGTGGTAGACGTGAGGTGGTTGGCGAACCGATAAATCACATCGGCGAACACGTCGCTGCGGACCATTAGCCGTTCACGACGTCATCCCATCCCGAGGAGGAGAGAAACATGCACCAGGAGGCCGAATCGGCGTTGGGGGGTGGGAGGGACAAGGGTTTGTAAAAGGGGAGAATTGGATGGTGTCGATTGGGATGCCTTGGTGCACTGACTGGCCTTCGCGAAGCATGGTACACAACAGGAGCTGTCGTTGTTGTTGCTACTCCTGTCATTACTAACTTCGCGTGACTTGGCACGTTTTGGCTATTAGCTCTGCGATCCACTGCTCCCGTCCTGCCTCAAACGGCAAGAGAGATGACCATCGCCGCAAAAAGCAAAAAGCAAAGACCAGAAAGTTCATTTCCAACGGTGAAAAGTACAAGAAAAACAAACTGCCCCGGGATTATCATCACTTAAGCTATTCCAGATGGGCAAAATCAAGGCCCCACCAAAAGATGAATCCGATGTACGCAAACCGATGTAAGCTTGCAACTGACAACGTATACAAGCAGCTCTTCAAAACGAGCCAATCAACACCGTTTCGTGAGCTGCGGACCGGTCTCAAGACGCTTAGTTAGAGAAGTGGAGGGTGGTGATGGCAATCTCATAAAAAAACATGGAAGAAAATCGAAACGTCACATAGAACAAAAATAGTTTTTGTACCTTTTTTTGACTACTGCCGTTTCGCTATTTCTGACAGAAAAGCAAATGAGCCTCGCTTTGCACGCATTACACACACACTCATACCTTGCGAAGCGGAGTACCGTGTGTCCGTCAACCCAGGTATGCTCGAAGTTCACCCCCGCGGAGCCGTTTTCGAAGACGATCAGCTGCAGCTTGTCGTACCACCGGTTCGTGCACGTACCCACCTAGCCAACCGACGAATACGGGAGCGCGGGCAAAGCGTGGTGAACGCAAGGGGAGGCGGGGGGGTCTAGTCTGGTAGAGTGTCAGAATGGTAGAGGGAATCGCATGTAGGTGCCAACCTGATCAACCAGGAGCAGGACCCGGTCGAACGAACAGGGGGGGGGGGAGGAACGGGAAATAAATCTAAAAGCTCTTCCTTGAGCGTTTGTAAAAAACCCCAAACTTTCACACAACTCATTGCCACCTAAACATTGCAAGCGAAATGGAACGACATTATATACAACGCATTATTCGAGACGCCCGCGTTCAACAGGAACCAGACCAAAAATCACCGCTGCCTAAAAAACAAAAATCCAATTGAAGATGTGCTGTGCGCAGTACCTGGACATCTCCTTCCAAGGCGTAGCTCCCGTGGAGGCACGAAGCAGCGATCTGCGGCCGCGCGGCGGGGTTCACACGAACGTGGCACAAAACTCAGCTCACGCACGTTATGACAACAACCAAGTGCTAAGGCCGTGCCCTCTTGTGTCAGAAATGGGGGAGGGTGAGAATATGCCCGTGCTGTGTTGAGGGGGGGTGGAGGAGTGCTCGCGAGTCGTGTGTGTGCCCAGCGGCGAGTGTCGGTTTGTCAGGCGACCAGGTAGCCATTTGCCGCAAACGGACAACTATAGTGTCTCAGCGAGGCGGTAACGGGAAAAAGCACGAATAAAGGTGTACTTGATGCTGAAACCAATTCAAGCACAGGAACAGCAACCGTTCTTCAACAAAAACAAGCGGCGTATAGTAAACGAATGTCTGAAGTACCTCGGGTAGTATGTGACGAAAGTAGCTGAATAGCACTGAACCTGACCACAACACAGGACAAAATCCAAGATATAAACAACGACGAAAATAGCACTGGACACGACTCACACGCCAAGAATGAAATCAAGAGGGAACCCCCGATACCTCGGCTGCCGTGCAGGGGGAGGTGTGGTCGAGGCAGAGCACGAAGAGCGCCGTGTCGACGAGATGAAGGTAGCGCTTGTTTGTCTCGTCGGCCGCGGCCAGCCGTCTCCTGGCGACCGCCCAATCGTCCCGCGTCTTGGTTGGCGACAAACACACGACGCACACAGCTCATCACCACGCACACACGCCGCATTGCGCCGAATGGTGGTCACCACGATGTCAAGCTCACGGCATGGCACGTGACTGATCACGACAACACCAAAAACTTCCGCGCACGCAGCGGTGCCGTTGTCCTCCTCAAACGACACGACATCGTGGTATATATCCCACGGCCGTGCGAAAGCAAACATGAGACACGCGACCAGACGACGATATAGATGAGACGGGACATAACTTAACACGTATTATGTCTGTACTTGTGATGATTTCCGTCCAGTCTCTGACCTGAGTGGTGAGAACCCCCACAGCGTTGGCCGCGGTCTTTGCTAGGTTAGCCTTCGCCGCGTCTTCCTGCACGGCTAGCACAATCTCTTCCAGCTCCTCCTCAGTGATTCCCACCCGTCCATCGGGATGTAGCGCACTGCATCACATGGTGTGATAGATTCCAGGAGTGAGAGAGCGTGGGAATGACAAGAGAGAGAGCGACACACACACCACCTTGCTTTTAGCACGGGTATGCTCCCATATCCACCCAAAGTGCGCAGAAACGAACACGGGGTGCCTGAATCTTGCACGCCGGAAAAGAAGCAGAACTTTTCTCTCGCAGAAAACACTCTTGTGCGTGGAGTAGCGCAACAACACTCTGCCCGCGTTTCGTACTTCAACCCAAAACGCACCTGAAGCAGTAGAACTGGTTCTTGCACAGCACAACCACATGTCTGGAATCCTGGCAACGCGTAGGAGTTACCGACGAGAATATACACGAACCACGCAGACAGCAGGACAGGGGGGGGGGGGGAAAGTCNGAACCAAGCAGACAGCAGGACGGGGGGGGGGGGGTAAGTCAGCTGTTCCCCACCCTAGCGATATTGTTGGGGTCGCTCACGCACCCGTTCTTGTCGATACCGATCACTCCGTTCTTGCCGCACGATGTGACACCCTCCGACTAGGAGAGAGGGAGCGCTCGTTGACTCGTTGAAAGCAAGCGGGTGTGGGGCGAGAGTGCTGACAACAGGTGGCTCCGCTCGAGCGACGATCGTCGGTGCACACGCGAGCGACAGCACTTTGGGTGATGATTGTCACGTCAAAGCCCCCTACCAAAACGGCTTAGAGAAACACAACGAAGCAAGCTGGCGAGTCACTTTTTCACACCTTGAAACGTTTGTTACCTGAAAGTTTGTGCAGAAGGAGGTATGTTCCCTCTCTAACCGGATGCACCGTCGACACGGCCAAACCACTAAGTGGTGGTAGGTTGTCTTAACATGCTAATACTCCCCCCTCACCGTCTGCCGAACCTTGCAGCATGGAAGCACATAAAACAGTTGAATTTCGTCGGTGTCGCTTTCCATAACCACCTGCTTTGAGACGTTTTTCCTGACAGCCACGACTACCCCCCACCCGAGATGCAACACGCAGAATTACACCGACGACAGACTGCTGTCCTTGCGCCCCCGCCCGTCCGCCTTGTTTCACCTCGCACACTCTCATCTCGTCCGGGTCGCTCTCCACGGCTTTCCTGTGCGCCCCGAAAAGCCTCCGGTACTGCGCCATGCAAAGCGGGGTGTCTCGCCAAAGGTCTTGCCGTGCGTCAAAGAATCAGCGAAGAGCAACACCAAGGGGTACGGACGCTCCGTCGGTTAGTTACAGAACATGTCACATGTGGTCATGACAGTAGCAAACAAAGCAACATGAGAATAACGTGGGTGCTTCCGGCTGGTTGAGGAGAGGGTGGATGGAATGACAAATATCGGTAACAGGAATGTACGTGCAAAAAAAAAGTCCATCAAGCAAAATTGCAAAAGCTTTTTAGTAGCTTTTCGAGATCGACGACACGCGAAGAACAAAGGCAAACAGAGGAATGACCACCAGAGCCCAGGCTACAACATCTAGTCAAATTTTGCTAACTCAGCGAGGAAGCCTGTGAAAGGGTGAGTGGTGAGGCCGCACCCGCCCTACCAACAACTTTTAAGGACTGATTACGACAACAACGTCAGCATGTCTACCTACGCTGGTGCTCGACACGTGATAAGAGGCTCAATTACCGTGAGTGAAGTTGATGGACTTCACACAGCTCTATTACTCTACGACGACGAGGATGAATGAGTCATACGTTATCGGAAAGCTCTCGACCAGACGGTCCCGACGCCGCCATTTTCGGCACGGTAGCTCTTTCTTGTGCGGAAAAAACGAGCTTTGAAGACCAGTCCAGGGTGGGGGGATGGTATCTTGCGTCACCTACGGTAGTCATCTACCGGAACGAACTCACCAGGGGGCAACGTCTCGCTCCGCACGGCAGACGCGAACCTCAGCGACGAGTACAGCAAAGACGCGGCTCGCCTCGCCTGCTTCTTCCCCGTGGCAGCGGCCCAACTCGTGTCGCGAGCCGCCCGACGGGATGCCGACTCGCTGCTCCTCCTGTCGCCCCGCTTGTGGGGTGGTGACCGATAAAAAGATGGCCGGGATGCGTTGTCGTCGTAGTCGTCGATGCCTCCATTTGCTGACCTCCGTCGCGGGGAGGGGAAGCGAGAACGGTCCTCCGAACCACCACCGGCGCCGCACAAGGAGCAGGCGCCAGGGTCGCCGATTTCGTCTCCCAAGTCTTTGGAGTGAGTGCTCAAAGTGGGCGTCTCGAACACGAAGAAGGGACTGTTTTTGATGTTATTTTCCCCGTTTACCGGTGTAAATCATGACAAGATAGGGACGGCGGCGTCCAAGCAACAAGACCACCACAGCAGTGAGTGGGCGAGGCATTAGGTGTTGTGCCGGGTAGTGCAGTTGAGTGCGGAAAACGGGTTAGGTACACCACCCAGGTTGGTCTTCACGAGTTACGATGGATAACAGCAAAGAGGCATGCGCGTTTCTGGAAATTTCATCTACTGCCGCGCAAATCGACTGAAAACAACAATCACGCTGCTAGAAGACTTGAGCTGGGCGAAGAAAAGTGCGAAACGCATTATACTCCGCGGGGTCCCCGACAAAGGGCGCGTGGAGCGGACTCGACGGGGAGTCAAGCCTGCGACTATCTGCGAGTCCAGGACAACACGCAGAACGGTGAACGCGCCAGTATGAGACTCACTGCTGCTGCCGACCACCGGCCTTCATGTGCAGCACTTCCAACGGATACGAAAAGCGACAAAACAGAGAGAAAAAACGAACACCAAAGGACAACCTCTTGCCAGACCGCTTGGTCGCGACCCCGAGTTACAGGCAACGAATGTTCAATCCATATGGTCTTTACTTTGTTAAATCTAACAAAACTGTAATAGCGATCGCGACGAGTACATGCACACACATGCACACGAGGGAAGGTACAGCAGTAGCTTCTTGACTCCCTTTTTCTGTAGAGTCGAACAAAAGAATAGCTGAGGGTAACGGGAGAGGCACCTTCCCTTCCGAATGATGTGATCGGGAATGCGTGCAATTTACGAGGTCCTCCTACAAAGTATGCAAGATCGACTTTGAAGGGGCATGCAGACGTTGTCAGCGAGCGGGGGCCAAAAAAAGATACATCTCACGAGAACAAAAGCCAAGAATCCAACCAGAAAGAATGACGCCCTATTATGCTCCTCTTACTTAAGGTTCAGCACCACGCTGGACTTGGGCGTGAGATAGCTGTCGTCCCAAAACTCCTCGACGAAGCTGTCCTTGTCGGCGGCGTACTCGAGGAGAGACCGCTGGAGCGCCTCCCCTTCCCCGCTGGTCTCGAACTGCGTCAGGAACGAATAGGTGATGATACATCAATCTAGAACATAAGCACAAGAGGCCCGGTCGGTGTGTCCACAGCAAAAGCAGCGACTTTTACCGCCGTATAGCGCCGTCTTAGGAGCGAACGGACAAACTGAACGGCGACAACACGTACACGGATACACACAACGCCTGGACAGTTTCGCGTGTAAGAAGCGGCCAGAGCCCGCCGAACCGGACGATGCCGTACATGGGTTTGGGACTGAGAAATATTGTGGAGCAGCGCCGCGTCGTCTACACGGTAAACAGGATTTCATGGTTGAGACGTGGGCACCAAGGGCCATCGACCGATCGCTCGTACGGCACCAGCTTGCATACCGACAGACGTCAAGCTTTTTTGCCCGGAGTCTACCGCCCTAGGTAGAGTAGGAGTGTTTTCCCGTGCGCAAGGCAAATCGGCTCCGAAGCTTGTTCCTTCCGAGAAGCCAAGCGTGCCGATCGTTTTGTGTAGCGCCTCTTCTGCGCAGCGCTACGGGTAGCACGCGCGGTGTGAGTGTGCGAAGTAAGGCCTACGCAAGGAGCGCCTTTGCACCGAACAAACAACATCCGCGGAACGAAAGACCTGCCCCACAACCAACCGCGAACTGATCTAAAACACGTGACGTTGCGTCATACCACGGCAATCTCACCTCCTGTACCACCCCCTTGGTGACCGCAAATGCCTCCGGAGACAGCAATGGTGCTACTACCCCCAGGTACCTCCCAAGCGTATCTCCCAGGGGGGGGACTTGTAGCTTAGGGAGGCGTGATTGGTGCATGAACGTGCTCGTGGCGGGAGGGGGAGCGCCCTCGCCGCCGCTGCCGCTACCGCCGCCGTCGCTGCTACCGCCGCCGCCGCTGCTACCGCCGCCGCTGTGACCGCTGCCGCCGTCACGCGCTAGCACTGCCTCTGCCTCCGCCGATGCGCGCTGACGGGGACCCCGCCCCCTCCTGACGCCCGTCCGTGCCGCCGTGGCCCTGCCTCCGAGGGAAGAGGCAGACGGCGGCGCAGACGCCGTCGTTCCGCGGGCATTGTTGAGATGCGCTACAGCGCCAGGCGCGGGTCCAGCGCCAGGCGCGGGTCCAGCGCCAGGCGCAGGCTCAGATTCAAACGACCGCCTACCAATTCCCGAGAGACCGTCACCGGCGCTCACCGTCACAAACCCGAACTTGTTCCCCGGGTTGATTGCGGCTGCGGCTGCGGCCGCGGCAGCAGCGGCGGTGGGATCGGGAGTAAAAGCGGTGGTGACGGGAAGTGGAGGAGGAGGAGGCGACTTGTTTTTCCCGGAGCGGCCCGGCACGGGATCTTCCCCTGCCTGGAGCGATTCTCCCGCTACCGCTCCTGTTCCTGCTGCCCCTGCAACGCCTAAGATGTGGCTGCTCTCTATGTTGTTGCTGGAGCGGCTGCGCGGTTTGGCGCACAGCGTGCTGGCGCTGCTGGCGCAGGACAACGAAGCCGTTCTGCGTTCTTCGGTCGTTGCTGTTGCTGCCGCCGACTTGATCGTGAAGCTCATGGATCGGTTCGGGGGCAAGGCGGCAGAAGGCGGACGACGCCCGTGGTGATGGTGATTGGAATCGGAGCTCTCCCTCATAGCGTCGGGTACCGTGAGGGTGCTGCAGCTGTTGTCGGAGCTGCTGCCGTTGCCTTGGGGGTTGCCGTTGCCGGAGGTAGCTGGTGCTCCTTGGTCCGCGGCCATCGCGCCGCCGGAGGGTTTTCGGGTCTTCGCATTGTGTCGAGAAAGGGAAGGCGGTCAAGGAAGCGAGACGCACGTCGAAACCAAGACGTGTCGAAAGACCGTTGTCGAGCTACAAAAGCGGTCGCTGACTCGTTGCAGTAATAATTTCATGTTTCTACGCGTACCACTGCTACTGTGTTCTGAACCATTGGAACCATTGGGACAATCAAATAATTAGTATTCGAATGGTCCTTATATTTCCAAACAGAGGTGATGTAACAAGTGGATGTATATCATTTGAACACTTTCCGTGCTCTACTGATGCTGATTACCAACACCAAACATAACAAGAAACCAGCTAACACGATACAAACTGAACGCTATGCCCTACCTACCATGCACCAGGTGTTCCATTCTCTTCTACTGTAAGCATCATTGATACGCTACCCCAAAGGGTCAAATAGTTTTTTTTGTAAATTCAAAAAACGGCGGGAAACACCTGCTGCCCGTGAAATTCAAAAATCTATAGGTTTGAAAAACGAGTGATATACTGCTGTAGCCTTCTTTCCATCGTCCATGATTTTTACATCAACATTATATATTTCTCCTTAAATTCCTAAAACCAGCAAGCTGTCAATAGACACTGCGCCGTGTCCCTTGTGAAGGTTACATCTTACAGTACACGACGCTACGGTGGGATTCTCCCCGATATTTTGTCGTTGACCCAGTAGAAAACTACAGGGGATGTATTGTAAAATGTAGATTTACCTATACAGATGTTTTTGTACTTAGCACCAGCTGGCATCACTGATAAATCATCAGTGCATAGACTTATAAAGACTCGGAATAAGTCCAGTACCCAGCCGGTTTTCCTCCACTTACTGAAAAGACTCCACCACATCCCGTTCGACTGCTGTGGGTATATCTCGAATGGGTAGTCTTTCTGTACGTGTATTTATTTCTCCTTAAGTGTACACGTGAAGGTCGAGGTAGATCGCGGTGGCTCTTTGCTGGAGCAACCAGAACAGAGGCGCGCGCCGTATGAGTCGCCGGAGCAGGTCGAGGCTCCAAATATCATCGCTGGTTGACCTTCACACCACGCCCTTTCCCGCCAAAAGCGACTCGTCGTCAATCAGCAATAGCCTGGCCCACTTCCACGTTAGTTTATGACGGGGCCGTCCAAAAATTGAAATGCTCCCGTGGACGGAGGTGGTCGGGGAAAGGAGCGATCATGCGAAAAAAATCTACAGCAGTAGGACGTAACGCTGCTTGCCGCCCTGGAACCTGGAACGCTAAACTTGTGACTTAGAGTCGTTGGCGTTTGCGGACACAGCGTGGAACTGCTGTAGATGCTGCACCCTCGACAGTCCCCAACCCTATCCACTCGTGACTGCAGGGACGAGCGATACGCCTTGGAGATGCGCTTGTAGAAGGTACAGCAGCCGCCACGCACGAAGGCAAATGCACGCTTTCTCACACGTGAGCGGAACATACCATCGCCCAGTCGCCAATCCTTCGCAGCAAGCTGTCGCGCATTCGTTGTGGGGTGTCAAAGCTTGATCCAAGCAAGCAAACCGCGTACAGTAGTAGGTCGAGCGTCGTCGGCCGTCACATCAAGTGCTGCTGTGTCTGGCATAATGCAGCGATGGCACGCCATGTGTGTGTGTCTATCTGATGCAACAACATAGACTACACCTGCCCCGCGCGGGGTAATAATCGTGGATGATGGAGCAGCCAATCACATCATGGGCGGGAGAGCCAGCGGGCTGGCGCCAGCATGGTGTTTGAAATTCAGGATCAAAATCAGTGACAACAACAGCCGGTGCGCGCTCAGGCGCTCAGGCCCGTTCCATTCCTACGGCAACTGCAACGCGCCGACGCCATACCACACGGGTAGACCACAAAGCCATCACGTCGGCACGCCGAGATGACACGATCGGTGGCCACCAACCATGATGAAAGCGTACAGCTTGGACGTACTGAAGAACAACAGCGCCTCTTGCTCTCCGCCGCTGTGCCAACCAACACACAACAGACCGCGGAAGATAGACAGCAAATGCATGGGGCCAGAGAACAGAAGCATCTCTCACCGATTGGCCGTCGCGCGCGAAGAATGTAGTAGTACGGTGTGCGGGAAGATCCTGACTCCTGCCTCCCTCCTGTGGCAGGTCGGTCGCGGGTGTTTTACGAGGAGAGACAAGGGGCGAGTACTTTTCATCTTGGTGAAAGACTATTCAAATGTGACTCTTCTTACGGGTACGAAATGGGGCGGGTATTCTTTCCGAACCGGCATCGTTTCACCATGTTACGTACGTGCTACGTGGAGAGCAGAGGAGTAGAGGCGGAGTTCACCGTTCAACGGACGTTAACGGTTGATTGTACACAACTCCCACAATTGAGCACGACGTCTATACTGCGACTGCAGTCTACCAGACACCGTTGGATCTTCAAGCTGCTGTAATCAGGAAACCAGTATAACTCTTCCCCGGTCACGCACAGCAGACAGCACCCAACGACCATATAAAATGTAAAAACTAAAATGCGTTGAAATTTTTTTGGATGGTCTAGATAGACTACATGAAAAAAAATGGATTATAATAGATTTACATTTTAGGAGAAACAAATATTCACACAGAAAGACTACCCGTTCGAGGTACATTTGCAAATGTGTGTGTAGGTTTGGCGGTTTCGTTCTTTCGTTCGTTCCGACCGAGAACGAAGTATCAACGCTATCGCGTTTTTCGACAAGCTCACTGCCCGCTACTTGCATCATCGATAGGGCCTTCGACCGGCAATGTCATCCTCAACCTCAACCGACACCAACCAACCAGCGCACGCATTACGCCGCCTGGCCGTGCTCTGTTGTGCCGCTGCCGGTCCTCTTTTCCTTCACACCGAACGAAATACGGCATCCCATCGTCTACACAGCAGCAGCAGCAGCAGCAGTTCGATAAGTGGCCAATACAGCTTCGTCGTAAAGCTGCACTCTCTCGTGCCTCAATCTGGCTTGCCGCTGCTCATGCACCCGTGTCGTGTAAGTGTGCAACCAAAACATGAGCCGCGGCCCAAGCGTCGTCATTTCTAGCAGCAGCCCTTCCAACTACCATGGCAGTGATGAACACGACGAAGAGGACCCACTGGGACTCCTTCGAGGCACATCGGCTGACATCCACGACGGCGTCGAAATGCTGGCCGGTTCGAGTTCTCTGTTGAGATCACACACACCTCTGAGGGAAGCAGTCGGCTGTGAAAGTGGAGATCCTCGTGAGGTCATCGACGCAATGTTGAGGAGTTCGAAAACAATACGTGACCAAGTGTCTTCGCGACAGGTACTACGTAGGCTATGTACAGCAGTACAGACAGTACTTATCTCGCCTGTAGATCTCGACGGGGGCGTGGAAGGAAGCTTGCATAGTCTATGTTCATGTTTGACGGTCGTTGCTGTCTTCGACACACGCAAGCGTCGAAGCACCCGAAAATTACCTCGAACAAAACGCAAACATTTGGCGAAATTAGCCTTTCGTTAAAAGGGTAGACTATGTGTTGCATCTTCAGGGTAGACTGTACCGTGTACTTCCGAACACAGACCAGTAGTCTCGACCTTCTGCGTGCATATCTCCTGACCACGATCTTCGAACAACATTAATTCACGACAATCTCTCTCTTATCCTGATTGCCGTGTAGCGGAATCTGTGTCCATCTGTATCGACCACTCACAGCTGTGTGGGGACCAGTCTTTCTAGTTGTGTGTCAGGTGTACGCAGATAATATGCCAGTTTAGACAATGATCCTCTAGACTACGTGCGAAGAAGTTACTTGTATGCGGCTGGTGGCGGGTAGCAACTGTTGGCATGCTATGTGTGTCGACGGCAGGATTCGGGGTCCCCTTGAAACAAAACAAGGTTTCCTTGAAGCAAAAGAAGACAAACGGTTGACAATGTAAACAATACACCTATCTCGCCCCCCCTCCCCCCCCC